TATATATATATATATGTATGTATGTATGTGTATATATATATATATGCTTTAAAAACATCCCTGGTTGACGCTGGCATCCCTGAAGCTGAGCCCCTGCTATTGCTGGCCCCAAGAGGTGCCCAAAGGAGAAGATGTGGCAGTGAGAAGAAGGAAGTCAAAGATTGCTGCACAGTTCACCAACGCTGTTGCAACACGTAGGAAGGAGCTCACGGGCACAGAGGGAGCTGGGGCACAGCAGGAGATACCAGCCAGGAGCAGCCCATCACTGGGACAAGATCAACACCCTGTGGCCAAGGCACGTGCTCCCATGGAGCCTGACCTTTTTCCGATGCAGTTTTTGCTTTTCCCTGAAGTCTTCCATTTTCTTTGCTTCCTCCCGCAGGGTTTGCGCCAGTTGGACGTGACCTTGCCCCACCTTGTCTATCTCTGCAAAGAAAAAAAAATACAAAAAAAAACATACTAATGAAAAGACTCTGTTGCTCAAGTCAGCTGTTGCAGTTGACATCAACCTGACCCAGAGACCCCACATAATATATCCTCGTGCAGAAACACATAAAAGCAGCAGCACTTTTGAGGCAGCCTCACATCAAAAGAAGTTACTCAAACAAGTACAGTCACATCTCCACCGCATCCAGATGAATTCAAGCATGTTTCAACACATCACACTCTGAAGCAGATGTCTGAAAGAAGCATTGCCCCAGGCTAGCAGATGACCAACTTGGGACACAGAAAATAATATGCTAAAATAAAATAAAATAAACCAAAACAAAATAAAATAAAAGGTATAGGACAGCAGACAAACCACACTGGGGTGGAGGGTGGACTCAGCACAGGACAGAAGAGCACTAGCCCTTGACTCTGGCAGCCTGTACCCTGGGGAGCTGTGACACATGGCAACAAAGGGACAATGTCAGGTGGCCAAAGCATCGTCCTTTAGATGCTCCAATTACTGTGTGAAGAAGAGAACAAGGCGAGCCAGTCCAACAAACTCAATCTGAGCTTCCCATGCACAGCTTCTGCTGTACAATGCAAGCAGCCAGCCCCAGAACCCTGAGAGTTCCCTAAAGGGACACCCCATGGGTCCCCTCTCCCACCCGTGCCCTGGAGCGCTTTGTCCCAAATTCCACACCCTGGCATGAGCCTGGTTTGGAGGTTTCTCTGCTATTTTCTTCCCCAGCAGTCACCTGCAGGCGTTGGTGCTGAAGAATGACTTACGTTGTTTGAAAACATCCAGGGATCTCTTCAGAGTGCTGAAAAACACATGCAGAGGATTAAAAACAGTGGATGCTATTATTATATATTCTGAATGTCAAGACAGATGTTTCAGGCAACCTCCCAAAATGATGTCTTGGGACAGAAGAACACCTTCCATGTGGTGCATTGGCCAACGGTTGGAACTTTTCTCCCTATTAATATTGGACACTAACGATTTCAGAAGCATTTTATTGTTACACCTCAATATAAAACTGTAAATAAATGATTTGAGAATATCGGACCAGGCACGTATAAAGTACAGAAAGAAAGCAGGAAGCAGAAGGTGCCAGGGGTCACAGAGGAAATGGAGACCCACTCATGGAGCCAACTGCAGTGACCACAGCACCGGGGTGCTAACATGCTGGGCTTTGAAGATTTGCATGGTTTGAGCCAAGGAAGTGCCAGTACTTCCCCCTGGCTACAAAAACATTGAGAAGCAAACCCAAGGTCCAGTGATCCTTGGCAAAAAATCCCGCATCTCTATGATGTTTTGGTTAGTCTACAGCTGGTGGGAACTTGGTGGAGTCCAACTTGATTACTAGCAAACACCAACCCAACTGTGCACCGTTCATTCACAAGACCGATTTCAGATCATCTTCTGGTAACATGCCAATCACATTTCAACCTTGTTTTGTCTCTTACAGCCTCCTTCCTTCTCCTCCTCCTTCATTGCTCCAAGTGAGGACACCCATAAAAGCAAACCACACACAGGACTGTCAACTTACTTCAGCTCTGTCTGCCCACAGGGCTTCTTCTTTGACAAGTTAATGAGCTCTTTGCCATATTTTTCTTCTATAATTGCCCTGTTGAGGAAAGAGAGACAGGAGAGGAAGTTCTCTTAACACCCTTCCGATCTTCTGACTTGCTGCAAACCAACTGTGGACAGCTGGCTGAAGGAAAACTCTTGTTTGCAGTTTCCCAACAGCCTTTCTACTGAAAACACTTTGTTTTGCTGTGTCTCTGGTCCCAATGCATTGCTCTCCCCATCTCCCATGGCCGATGGGTGCAAGGACCACCTCCGCAGGAGATGGAGGACTAAGCAGGCAGCAGAGCTGGTGGCTAGATGCAGCCAGCTGAGTCACCTGAGGAGTTTTTAGCTCCATTTCCTACAGGAATAAAGTTGGTGTGATCACGTATTTTCTGCCTCTCAGCCATCAGCATCTGTCGGTCCATCCAGACAAAGTACTTCTGAATCCACTGGCTGTTTTAAACCAAATGTGACAGAAGGGAGTGGGCATCTCAAAGGCCACTCAGCCACCATACATGCACCCCAAAGCTGAGCTTTCTGCATTGGCTTTGAAATCTGTAGAGACAACCAGGGTTGGACTTGTTTGGTCACATGTAGATATCTCCATCTGTTTGAGACACCCTAGCTATCTGCAGGCAGCAGAGAGAAATAAATTCTGCTAGGGGCTTGCATTAGAAGATCTACTGTATAAAATAAATAGCTTCCTAAAATGCCTCTTTCTGTGAGGCAGATGCCTATGTTGTTGATTTCTAGAGTTTGGCACTGGGGTTCACTTAACTTAACCCTATAAAAACTCCAAAAGCTTGTAGGGGAATGGAAAAAATAGAGATTATAATTTTTTTTTCCCCCCTCTGTCTAACAATATTCCCATTAATTTATTTTTGCAACAAAGCATCAGATCCAACAGACATTGGACATTTGTTCCGGGCTGTTTCGTACCAAGTGTTTTATTCAGAGGTTTGTTTTCTCCAGTTCTCAACACCAAAATCACGTTAATTCAGGGTTGTTCTACAACGCTCTTCGTATTTAGCCATTGCTAACCAGGTGAACCACAAAGTCAAAATACACAGCCAGACCATCTCAGTAGTGCCTTTGTAGCCACAAAACCTCTGCTTAGGTCATATCCTCTGATTAATGAAGCCACTATCTAATGCTACTGCTTCTTTTCACCAGAAAATCTATGGGCTGTCCATAACATACAAAGACAAGTTCAGGACAAAGCCATGGCTCTCCTATTCCAAGGTCTTCACCCGATCTTCTGCAAGGTGAAAATGCGACAGAAACCAAACTAGGAATACAAGGAGTAGAAGTGGTTCCACCATCCCACTTCCCAGGTTCAACCCAACCCGCTTTCAGAGGCAGCTCCATACCTTTCCTTCAGAAAGTCTTCAAACTCTTTGCAGTTCTTCCTGCCATCATTCAGATGTTGAATGATGCTGTCGTAGCCAACTGTGCTCGTCAGATCCGTACTCTGAAAACACAAGAACCGAATCACATCCTCATCTGTGCTGTCCATGGCCATTGCCACCTCCAGCGGCATTTGCACAAGCGATGGCTCAGCTGGGAGTAAGTGTGCAAGTGCCTCTTTACAAAATAAGATCTTTTCCACTTAGGGGTGGGAGAGGCTCCAGAATGGGAACAATGGCAGTAATCTGGGACAAGGCACTTTCAGAAAACAGAAGAGCTCAGTCCTACCACATCCTATCGCTCCTTCTTGGTCTAAGCATAGCTGGCTCCACCGCACATGGCACCTCCTCCTAGAAGCTTAGCTGTCAGCTCTAACTTAATTAAATCAAACACTAAAAACCCTCCAAGTCTCTAGATACAGCCCGTCCTACTACTGCTCCTCCCAGTTTCTGCAGAAATGGAGATGGATCTTGGTTAGCATTGACTTGCACTATTCTGGGCATCACCCTCACATCTGGCTGTAGGAGACAACCTCTGGGTTGGATGGAGGTGAATTTATCAGAACTTTCTTCACAGGATTGCTGAGATGGGCTTGTCTTTCTACCCTTACAGGAACGTATGGATGCACCCAACGACTGCTGCTGCAACAGCCTTGCAAAAAGCAACACTGTCCCACACTTCTATTCAAAACACCCCTGCAAAGATCGTTTCCCTAAGTACCAGGTCCTCCCCCACCACTGCTGCATGCCCTCCAACACATCACACAGAGCTTCTTAACTCCCCACAAACTACCACCGCCGTGGAGAGGTCCTGCCTCCACCACTCATGGAGCAAAGTTCCATCTCCCAACTCGCACTTCCCATAGGCTTCGAAGGATCACTGCTTTCCTTCAAATTATTTCTTAAAAATATGTATTGTACTGATGCTTATTAAAAAAAAAAAAAAAAAAAAAAAAAAGATGCATGCAGCAATGATGTAGGTGGGTAAGGATGAAGGTTGACTAACTCTACCCCATCCTTTCCTCATACCCATGCCAGGAGGCACCTTCGGAAAAACAAATTGATTTTTGCCCTCTGACTGTTGAGGATTTACCTGGAGACCTGGGCCAGGAGCAGGGCTCCGAAGTGCTATGATAATACAGAGGGATGCTCTGACCATGACCTCTCCTTTGGAAGAAGCCCAAAGCAGGTGCTACCTGTGGTCTTCCGCAAAGAGGACCAGTCGGTGTTGCATAAATTGGCACATATGGGAGCAAAAAATACCGGGAAAGACGCTGCAGAAAGGAAGCAATGGTAGGGGCAGAGATGAAACTCAGGGAAGGGAAGCAAAAACCATAAAACAGTTGTTAAGAAGCTTGGAGAGGAATAACATCAGGACGGAGAGGTTCAGAAAACGTTTTGAAGGCAGGATGAGAGCATGCAGAGAACTGACGTGAAATTGTGGGCAGCAGAAAGGGGGATTTCTCAGGAGTTCATGACTGGTGCAAGAAATGAGGAAGAAGAGGGGTGATATTAATGGTAAATGAAGGATTTTATCATGTGGGACTTCCTTGCCCATTCAAGGACTTGAATGCTAGTGGCCAGAAAGCAAGAAGTGAAGCAGTGGAGTGGGACCTGCAGGAAATCCCTGGGCATCCCGGGGGTTTGCTCCATCCATGGCACACAAGAGAAGAGGAGACTGTGGAGCAAGACCTAAGCAGAAAACAAAACAATTTCTGTTTCTTTACGAAGCACGAACATCCCTCCAAAATTGTCTTATTGCTGAAAAACCCACAACTCCGTTTGCATCGTGTCTTTGCTAATTGGGTCTGTAAAAAAGGAAACGCGCTTGCACTGAAGTCGGTCTTCATAACAGTTGCAAAATGCAGGAACATCCCAACTTGACTTCCTATCTGTGGTTTCAAAGGAAATAAAATGGATGCAGAGAATGACCACTGGTCACTGCAAGCCTGGGCAGGATGGAGCGGTCAGAGCCGCACCACGTGGGACACCCAACGGCTCCTGCATCCCTCTCTGCTGCTCGGGATGTGCAGGTTTGCTGTGCTGGGTAGAAGCTCCCAGGGAAAAATTAGGAGCATCCATCAAAAAATGTGCCCTAAGCTACTTCCTCCAGAAGAAGGATTTAATTCCAGCACGTATGTATTTCCTAAAAGCCACAGGTGCGGAGGACAAGACATAAAGACAAAATAAACTAAGCTAAAGACAGGTATGGAGGATGGGGAGTTGCACCAAGCCTTCTCCAACCAGAGGGATGTGAGAGGATGAGCACCTCTCCTCCCACCCTGCAGCACGCAGCTGTCATGGCCATCCCCACTGGGCAGAGCTCCAAGCCCATGTGTTATTTTAGAGAACAGCCCATGGAAACTACCAACAGATGATTTCAAGGTGACAAAGTGGCAGCTGATGTTTCCCAGCTCAGCAGGACGTGCCCCACCTTCCCTATCTGCTGCCTGGGTTTGTGCTGTTCTCCCAACAGACTCGCTGAAGAGGAGGAATTTGTGTGCTGCTTGGGATGCTTTGGGTTCTGTTTTCACTTTTAGCCAAAAGAGGGGCTAAAATGCGCTAGTGGGGAGCTGCAGTCATATTATGACCTTGTGTGAGTCACAGCTAAAAGGCAAAGCTGCTGAGCTTGACTTTTCCATCTTCTACCCAGTTTTACATGGAAACCCCCCTCCAGACACACACCATACGAAGCCAGTGACATGGGAGGATCATAGAATCATTTAGGTTGGGAAAGACCTTTAAGATTATTGAATCCAACCATAAACATAACACTGCCACCACACCACTGAACCATGTCCCTAAGTGCCACATCTACACATCTTTTAAATATCCCCAGGGATGGTGACTCCACCACTCCCCTGCGCGGCCTGTTCCAGTGCTTGACAACCCTTTTGGGGTTTTTCACTAATACCCAATCTAAACCTCCCCTGGCACAACTTGAGGCCATTTCCTCTTGTCCTATCACTTGTTACTTGGGAGAAGAGACCAACACCCAGCTGGCTTCATTGCTCAGAGAAACACAGCAGAAGCCCCACGTCTATTTTAGTCGTCGGAAACACCGTGCAGCAATAAATGTCTGTGCTATTCTCACTTGCAGTCAATACAGCATCAAAATCATTCAGGGTCCTGGAGAGGTTTCTGAGACCAAGAAAAATGCTTCTGCTGGTGTCTGCAGGGAGCAGGGTAAGGACAGCAGGAGATGCTGCAGGAGGCAACTGTTCCTCCCCATCCCATAACCGGCTGGGTACAACAGGACAGACAAAACTCATAACTGGGAGGAAAAGTATTAACTGCAAATTGTCCTGGTTCCAGCTGGGACAGAGTTCACTCTCTTCCCAGCAGCTGGTGTGAGGCTGTTTGGGTTTGTGCTGAGGAGAAGCTGATCACACACTGATGGGCAGAGCTGCTGCCAGGACAGTCAAGGACTTTCCAGCTTCTCTGCTGGGCCCGTGTCTGCAGGGGCAGGAGGAGCTGGGAGGGAGCACAGCCCCCGTGACCAGCCCAGGATTCCACCTCAGGGTTAGGACTGAGACCCAAACTGGCC